AAATGTTCACCCACAAAGCAATTTGAGCAGACGAGTGCTAGAGTGAACAAGAATGGGTGTTTGAATATATATACATATCCATATTCAAACTCCATATGGTGTGATAACAGGCATGACGGAAGATAAATCTCCATCATAGCTATAGGTCACTCTCAGATTGGATTAGCTGTTTCTTTAAGGCTTCAATTTCAGAATTCTTTGTGGCCAAGGCTAACTCCAAGTACTTTCTTGGCACATAGATCTACCGAAGGAAAAGTATCCCATTCTGGATCCCGGTTGATTCCTTCGATCCAAGGATCATTCAGGTACCGAATCGTATCTCTTGGAGAGAACCAACGCGGTTCTCTCGTCGTGAAAGAAGTAAAAGTATAGCTTTCTAGAGCAACGCATTCTAATTCTAGGCACAGATCATTGGTATTGGATGTATCGTTAGGTTGTGCCGAGTCAAATCTGCTCCGTTTTTTTTCCGTTGCAGAAAAGAGATCCCTTCCCCACGCTGGCTGCAGGTACTATGGATCCTCTGAAATATCATTCTTTGAAATATCAATATTTAACCAAATGCCGCATGGAACATAATATTAATAAGAGCAGAGCAATCCAAAAATCATAATTGAGATATGCTTAGTCAGCTAACCTCAACATGCTGATCCTCTAATTCTCCAAGAGGCATATTGGCATTGGGTCCGATGCCCTGTTTCTTATAGGCAGAGGATTCAAGGTCTCGTTCAACACCTACGATATTCCCAGTACCAGCATCGGAGTTTCTAGACAAATTAGACTTCATAGGACCACCTGATTTGGCCATAGGTGGCCCTGTACCCTGTCGATTCCGAAATTCGATGACTGGACACTTATCCACAATTAAGGAAAGAATGACAGATTGCAAGCGATCTACAACAGGCACAACCGCAACACAGCGTTAATTATTATAAATTAAACAGAGCCACCGATGGAGTATACTGTACACCATACACATATCGGTAGTGCATTTTCTGGCTAATTTTAAAGATTGAGTTGAAACAAAAAGCGGAAAAGAGTCTGATATTCAAGAAATCTACACAGCACGGATTGGAGTAAACATTGGGCGATCAAGAAGCGCTTACGAGTTCTAGGGTTTGAGAATTTCTCGGCAAAGCTTACCGAGGTGCTGATAAGTGCGCAAATGGAAATGGAACTAACCAGAATCAGAATTCATGAAAAGAGACCGATCGAGTTCAGAACCTGCAGCCGCCTCCATCGGTGAAGCAGGAGCCGACGAGAAAGTGGGGCTGGCCCCCTCCCGCCAATTCTTCTGAAATTGTACGGAGAACGAAGCAAAATACCAAAATGAGTAAAATTTGCCACTAAAATATACTCATTCAGTTACGCATGGTTTGGTCCACTTTATCTACAAATTTTAATTTATTTGATTATAGTGTTAATATTGTTAAATGTAAAAATAAAATTTTACAGTAATAAATTACATGAAAAACTCTGCAAAACAAGATGTAACAAAATTATATGAAGGTCCCGTTTGGCATCAACGTCGGAGATTAGCATTAGCGTTTTGAAAAGGTTATCTGACGATAGCTTTTAGCGTTAGCGTTTTCCGAATTAATCTACACCATTAATATTTTATTCAAAACGCTAACGTTAATTGAAAACGCTCTTCCCAAACAAGGCCGAAGTATTATTATGAAATGAATAGTATAAATAAGCAAAGTGACTTTAAATTTGACTTTGTGAATAATGTTTACAAAGATCTATGGGAGACGAAAGAAACAATACTCGTACTTCCTCTCCAAAATGGATGTTATTGTTTGAATAACGAACAAAATCTGGTCAGTTTTAAGTTTATTTTAATTAAAAATTGGAATAGAAAATAAAAAACTCAAATTAAACCGTTCAAAAATTCTAACAAGAGATGACATAAATATTTTATCTTATCAAATAACCAATAAAAATATAAAATATAAACAAACAAAAATTATTGAGATGTCGTAATAGTGACAATGCAATCCATTTTGGCCCGGAGGGAGTAGTTATATTCCGTAAATAAGACTTACAAGCATTAACTTTTATTCCTAATATAAGAATTGATTAATTAATACGAAGTAATTTATTACTGCATTTTTTATTTTCAATGTATAACTCTCGATGCCTTCAATTGGAAATTCGTAAAACTGATAATTCCTATCCTTTCTAAGATTTGGTAAGCCTCTCATCTTCTAGATTCTTGTCCAAAAATCAACTAAATTTGGATGGTACAATCGAAGGGTGTGGGGAGATGGACTCAGGTCAGGCCGGATGGTTAGCCACTATGGAGTCGGCGAAAGTGCTTTTGTGAGTATATATAGACACACACGACTACACGAGTATAAATACGTTTGACTATACTCTCCAAATTAAAGGCTTTTCTGCATACCAAATCCCTACTCACAATGGTTTCGAACATGGGCAAAGTAAACAATGCAAAAACGAAAAACAAATCTGCTGACTTGGAACCATGCAAGAACGAAAACCATTTCCAGGCAAGAAAATCAGCTCAAATATAACCAAAAGATTACATTGAATAATTACTTTCCACATCTAATATTTCCAGCTTTGTACTCATCCTGCCCGTGTAAGAAACTCCACCACACAAAAAAATCACAGCCACGGCACACAAATAAGAGAGAAAGAAACCAAAGATTCATTCCTTAATTAACAAATCAATATACTCATTTCAGACACAAGGATTTGATACTATACGAATGCGGCCTCGCCCGTCCCTGCCTCCAAAAGAATAATAATAATAATAATAATAATAATAATAATAATAATAATAATAATAATAATAACAACAACAATACCCTCCTAATCCTGACTGAAGTTCTACTTTAAGTGAGAGAGCACACCCACACACTAATCCCTATAACAAAACAACCCCAATCTTCACTCCTTTTAACACTGAAGCTCGCAATCTAGAAAGCGTTGTTGTTTTCTGTTATAC